ATTCATATAAAGGAAAAGTGTTAAAACTGGCAGAAAGAATCTACACCAACTTCAGGGGAGTGCTAAGTCCTGGGTCCAGGAGGAGGAAATAGGGTGAGGAACAGTGTGTCAGCTGTAATTGAGACATTTTATTTCTTTAAAACATCAAATAGAAATACTTAATAAAATGTTAGCATTATAAAATCTGGGCAGTTGGTACATAGTTGTTACAGTAATTCTCTGTGTTTTTCCATATGTCATAAGTATTTTATAATTAAACTTTTAAAAACTAGAATAGCGGTGCCCTATGAGATGCTGAAAATGGAAAGATAATATTCATAATAAAGCAGTTATTTCCTGCTTCAGGGTCTCATTTCCAAAATAGCAGGTGTACTTCATGAAAATAGAATCATCTTTACTTGGCCTTAGATTGCTTAATATTTATTCCTCTCTGCAGTTGTTTTTTTTCTTTTGTTTATATATTCATGTATTTTATACATTCTTTGATTATATTGGTCTATTAAGATGCTTTCCTCAGAATTATCTGTGCTTTTCTTTTTCTCATGCTTGGATGGGAGAAGAGAGCTGCTCAAAAGTATCTAATTCCACTACAATCAGGAGAGCTGCTGGCAGATACTAGCTGGCTCACTGTGTATAGCAAAAAACTTCATTCATGCCAGATTGGGCCATTTTGTAGGGCAGGTTTGTTCCCAAATTCAGGACTATATTTTCATTAAGGATGTTTGTTTTCAAAAACAGTATGGCAGACCATGGGGACAAGCCGAGTCCACTGAAGGCCATCCCACAGGCAGGTGCATGGCAGGTGCAGCGAGGATGAAAGGGTGATTCACTTCGTTAGTTGTTTAGGGCAGTCTTCATCAAATCAAATCTGTGGTATAATTAGGAAAATTTTTAACCAAATTTACCAAGAATATGAGATGCCTGTGCTGGTAGAATGTCTTCCGGTCTCTGACACACCTCATATATTCCTCATTTGCTCTACTGAATGATGCTTCCTGTGGAGTCTTTCTCCATCTTTATTTTTTAAAGAAAGAACTTTAGAATTCAACAAGATACATTTCTTGCAGGTATTTTTCTGAAATATGTTGAGTTTTTAGGGAAATTCAATCTCTTGGATTAAGTTCACTTACACTTGTCAGAAGATTGAATTTAAGAAGCAATTTGATGCCCAACATACTTTTTGAGTCTCTTTATGAGCTTTAAAAGTCCTACTAAAACCTACAAACAGGAAGTTCTGTTCTTCATCCATGAAGGAAACCGGATTCCTTAAAGCTTGTGTGAGACTCAGACCTCAAAGCCCACAATTCTCCAGTGAATTACAAGTTCAACCAAGTGTGTTTTCTTGTGTCAGGTAGAAACTGATTTCCTGAGAGCAGATAATGGAAGGACTGTAGGGTAACCTCTGACAGCTGGCAAGCCTGCTGGCGCCCTTATAGCTGTTGCTGTTGTAAATTTCATTAATAAGTATTAATAAAATATGTATCCTAATGTGTTACTTTCTCCTAATGTATCATAATGTATTACTGTCAACCTGGGGTTACCTGTACATCTCAAGATTTAAAAACCAAAAAAGGGGTATCAGAATACAACATAGCAGCAAAACTACTTTCTGGTTCACTTGAATCCAGGTTTCCATTGTTTGTGAAATGAGTTTTATCATTACTTTCCTCCCACTACTGCGACATGCAGCCGCTGGAGCCTCTCAAACCCTGTAGAAACAATGCTACACTGTTTCTTTCTCTTTTTTTTTAACAGATGGCATCTGTACGTTTTTTCATTTTTCACAACTTGAGTGCTAAAGTTCATTTCGAAAGACTTGTGGAAAATGTAGAAATTAATCTCATAACTCCAATGCATAAATTGTCAAAGAAACAAAAAAATAAGAAAATCTGTTTAGTTTTCTTTTGCATTATTTTTAGAGGCCTGATAAATGGTCTTGCCATAGTGTTTCAAATAGAGTCTCACTTGCCACCAAGTAGAATCAACAAATCCGTGACAGGGTGTTTACATTCTCTCGTTCTTTGCTGCAAATGGTCTAGAAGGAGCGGCCTTTGCACTTCTGAGAATCACCCTTTATTGTGCAGCTCTGTGCTTGCTGCAGGTAGTTTGAAAGCTTCCATACGACCACGTGGGAAGGATGCTTCCCACATTATTTGGTTCCTGTTGAGCCTCCTGTCATTGAATTCCTGGGCAGAAATCACCTGGTGCTGCTCTGGCAGTCAGTTGGGACTGAAGCTTAATGTGATGCAGTCCAGGAAGTGCACACTTGACAAGTTTCAGACCAAAAGAGGAAGCCATGAAGGCCAGGGGCATTTTGAAACCGTTCCTGCTGCACTTTGGTAGAACCAAGAGCCACCTAAGTCTAACAGGACAAGAGGAGGACATTGTGGAGAAGTAGGTACCATATGGCTGCCAACCCCCAGCTGTTCTGGGGGCTCCCTAATGCTGAGAATGTAATTTATTGGTGACCCAACCAAACTACACTGTGGCAAGTACTGGGCCGGCTACAGTAAATAGCATTCGTGGAGAGGCTAATGGGGAATCCCAAATTCCAGAAAGAGCAAATCAAAGCAATAAAAAAAATGACCAGATATTCACTAAAATGACTTCTGGTGAATTAATACATATTTTTAGATGTCTCTGTTTTAATTTCAAACATGATGAAAAGTAATAGTTACAGCCTCATAAACAAAGCTCTTTAAAGTTCTCAGTAATTTTTACCAGCTTATGGGTATTCTGAAACAAATTTAAAAAGTCTAAAAACTGCTGTCTGTAGTGAAAATCACAATGAACTTGCCCTATTCATTCACATATAACTAACTCCACACTGGCTTTGTAGTGCCTGATTCTTAAATATAAGTGGACTAGCAATGGTCACCAGGTATTTAAGGACATCATTTTAAGCATATAATATGGGGAAAATAGCTATCAATACAAATAAAGAAGAAAGATTATTGAAATAATAGAAAGTCTCAATATCAGTACCTCCGTAAAAGTAAAAGGTTCTAGTGTAGCCATTAAACAAGAACAGGATGCTACTTAGTCTTTTTTCAAAAAAAGAACATCCAGAGGATTAAAAAAATAGTACTCAGAAATTAATAATGTGAGAGTGGTAATGAAAAACATCAAAAAAGTATCAGAATACGAAACTGAACAATTCCTTCAAAATCCAGAGCAAAAGACGAAGAGATGAAAAGTAAGAAAGAAAAGCTAAGGCTGAGAGCTGTTTAAGAAGTTCAGTGTCCAAAGAAATTATAGTTTCCAGAAGGTGAGATCAGAGAAAAGATTGGGTAGGAAGTCCTCAAGGAGGTAATCCAAGAGAACGTCCATGATTTAAGACCCACCGAGTACCCAGTACAATAAATAAACATAAATCTATACCAAGACACGTTGTTGTGAAATTTCAAAGAGGCTATCCAGGGAGTGAAAACAGGACATATATAAAGAATTGAGGTTCATAATAGCATGGGTCTTCTCAGGAGCAACACTGGAAGCTAGACCACAGTAGAACCACACCTTCACAATTCCATAGGGAAATTACCAGAATTCTGTACTCAGCCAAAGTACAACATAAGATGAATGAAACAATAAAGAAGTAGAGTCCAGGAGAGAAGTGAAGGAAATCCCCAGAACAGAGATCTCAAGATAGTAATTGTGCAGAGATTATGCATAACATATCCAGATTATGATTATATGTGAAAATACCTGGAAAAAGATCTAAAAGCAAAAATCCCAAACTTTCATTTTATTAATTTCTGGTTCAGTTATTCACTTAACATCTGTTTCTTGAGCATGTAGTTTGTGTAAGGAGTTGTCCCTAATGCTAGGAATAAAGCTGTGAGCAAGGTAGAAGTACCTGCCCATATAAAGCTGATATCCTAACAGGAAGAGTCAGGCCATGAACTGTAAAGTAGATGCACAATAGATCAGCTGATGAAAGGTACACTGGGGAGAAGCACACCGGGAAGTACATGGGGAGGGGAGGTCTTGCTGTGTTAAACTCTGCTGTCCAGTGGAGCATTCTGCAGTAACGGACAAGTCCTCTGAATTTGCAGTGTCCAGCACTGTAAGCCACTAGCTGTGGAACACTTAACATGGAGTGCAACTGGAGAGTGGAACTGTAGATTTCGTTTAAATTAAAATCACCACATGTGGCTGATCGCTGCTGTATTATTGGTCATTGCGTTTATAGGGATGAACAGGAAATCGTCTGCATAAAGCAACATTTGAGCTGAAACCTACATGAAATGAAGAAAGTAGTCGTGGTTCCAGGCAGAATGACAACAGGACCTTATCTGGAGTAGTTAGAAGCCAGGAAGGCCAGAACAAGCGAGGCAGTGAGTGGAAGAAGATGAAGCCAGAGGGACAGTGGGCCTCACTGCGGAGGGTGTTGGTGGCTGTTGTAAGGCTGCTTAGTTTTCTGTGTGAAGGGGAAGCTATCACAAAGCTTTGAACACACAAGTGAAGTGATCTGAGTTTTTAAAGGGCTTCCAGATGGTCCTGATGATAAACAGTGGGGTGAGGGCAAAGCAGGAGGAAGCCTGGAGGTGGTGATGAAGTAGGGGGTCATGATGGAAAGTAGAGAAATAGAGGAACTGACAGCACTGGCTGCTGCATCAGAGAGGGCATGACAGAAAGGGGAGGGATCAAGGACAGACCTCAAGGGCTTTGGCCTGAGCAAGTGAGATGGGGGCCATAGCAGGAAGAGAGCATTTGGGGAGGGAATTCTAGAGCTCTGCTTGGGGCATGGTAAGTTGGAGGTACTTGGAGATACTTACGCCAGAGTCCTGACAATGAATGATGTTAAAACGGAAACTGCTGCTAAAATGGGGTTTCTTTCTAAGACATTTGAGTAAGAAGCACTCACGATGGTAGCAGGGGAGCCTTCCTTATGTGAGAGGCAAAGCAAGTGGCCTGTCAGCCTTTTCAGTATGAAGACTTTATGTCTCTGTGTAGCTGTAAGGTTTGGGTAACTAGTTCTTACTGTATTTATTCCACAGAATGGCCCCTGAGCAGGTGAGGTCCCTGTCACGAGTTTGTATACCACTGGTGACCCTGCCGGATTTCGAACCCCTGGTGGCGGCTCTGCTCACCTACCATGGACATGAACCTCGGGAAGTGCTCTGGCCTGAGTTCTTTGACGCTGTGAACGAGGCCTTTTTGTTGTAAGTGATGTCCATTTACCTTATCACCCACCCACGTTCTTCCTCTTCTTAAGAATACTTCCCCACGCTGGAAATGCAGTTTTCAAACTTGTGTTCTCAGTACCACTTAATGCTCTTAAAGGTTATTGAGGATCCCAATGAGCTTTTAAAAAAAGGGTGTGTTATATTGAGCAGTATTTACCATATTTGAAATTAAAACAAGTTTTTAAAATATTAATTACTTAATTTGAAAATAACAATGTTAATTATGTGTTAACAAAATAGCACATTTTTGTGAAAAACAATGATCTTTTCCAAGGAAAGTTGTCAGGAGTGGCATTGTTTTACATTTTTGCAAATCTGATTGTCTGACTTATAAGAAGACAGCTGGGTTCTCATATATGTTTCTGCATTCAGTCTGGTGTGGTATGTTGTTTTGACTCAATAGGAAGAAAACCTAGCCTCACACAGATGTGAAGTTAGAAAAGACAGGAGTATTTTAATAGCTACCTCAGATAATTGTGGATACTTGCTTTGGATACTTACCTCACCAGAATTTGAATATGGTAGTATTGTAAAGGAGTCTGAAGCTGTGCCAATGGGCTCTCCATACTGTTACATGAAAATCTATTGGTCTGTCTAGTACTTTAAATAGCGTCTTTAGCACCAGCAGGATTTTGTAGCCTCATGCACTGTTCACTTGGAAACTATTGGTTCATTAAGTTACCGAGATCTTGCAAACACTGGCATGTTTCATTGCACAGTACCCAAATTTAAATGCATTACTGTCACCATTGATCTCATCAGAAACATCAGGTGTTGGGAAACTGTTGAACTCGCACGGCAGAAACACATTTTCCAAGATTCTACGATCTGCCCGAAAACTGAAATGTATCATTGGCAACAAACACTGTCGGTTGTTTCCTTAAGGTCCTAGGGTCACTTTGGTGATTTTGGAGAAAGGATGTGCCAAACTCAGTTTTGAATAACCCATTGGTCTGTGAAGCACTCTTTCAGGTTATTTTCTACTGTAAACAGTAGCAGGCTGACCTCATAGCTCAAACAGTTGCTCAAGTGCTTTTCCTCTAGACCTGTGGCCTTATGTTCCAGATGCTTGCTTTCCTTTCCATCTTGCAGATTTTCATGAAAAATATTCTCAAGAGTAAAATTCAGTGAAATTCACATTTTATGCTGCTTCATCAGTGCAGTGCCATGTGAAATGGGCAGTGTGATGAACATGAGTTTGTGGTATGAGAATCAGTGGCCCCTGTCGCTGCTCTGACCACGCTGGGCACAATAGGCTTAGCTGCTTTGGCCTTTGTACTCCGAGCACAAATGTCAACACAGTTGTTGTATGGAACAGCATGAGATTAAACAGTTATTCAGCATGACATCGTTCTGTGCTACCAAGTTCCCTTAGACAACTGCCCTCAGTTGGTGCTGATCCCAAATGAATACGAGCAGCACAGCTAGTCCGGCCATGCCCAGAGAGCAGAGGTATGGTTCTGCCGGCAAGCTGTTTATTTACCTCACTACGTTTGAATTATTTAATTCCTTTTTTTAAACTCTGGTCTCAAATTGATGCTTCAGTGAACTACATATAATAGCATTTGGAAACATTCTGCTGACTGAGACACACTAAGGTAAATGATTAATATCCACCCAGCCAAGGGGAAAATAACTCCTCATACTTGCCCCTCATTTCCAGGGCAGCCCACCCGCTTCAGGGGAGTAGGTGTCTCCAGAGATGTGCTGGTTCGTCTTTTCCCAGTGCACCACTTGGGGGATGAGAAAGCGAGTCTTAGTTCTCCTTCATAGAGCCAAAGTTTGCATTTTTAAATATAAGAAAATGTGTTATAAATGAACTTTATTTTTAAGTAGTCATTAAATTTTGAAAGTATCTAAAAATATTCTATATTGTAAAATACAGATATATTTATATCTAAAATACATTTGATAAAATTTAGAAAAGTTTTCAAAAATTTTAAAGGTATTTCTGTAAAATAAAACAACAAAGTGTACTCACTTCTTACTAAGTTTTCATGTGGGCACAAGAGAAAATGCCAAACTTCTTATTCACTTATTTATTTATGTTTTACTTTTTCAGCTTGAGATGTAATTGATATATAATGTTTTATAAGTTTAAGATGTACAAGGAGTTGATCTAATACACTTTGATAATTGCAAATGATTACCACCTTGACACTAGCTAATATATCTATCACGTCATACAGTTACCCTTTCTTTTTCGTGTTAAACAAGATTGTACCTCTTAGCAACTTTCAAGTATGTAAAACAATATTATTAACTGTCGTCACCGTGCTGTCCACTAGGTCCCCAGAACATATTCATCTTAAGCTGGAAGTGTGTTCTTTGGCCAACCATCTCCCAGTCCCTGTTAGCAGTCATTCTAGTCTCTGTTTCTGTGCGCTCAGCTTTTATAGATCCCACACTCAGTGATATACACTATCTGTTTCTCTGCTCTGTCTGACTTATGTCACTGAGCATAATGCCTTCCAGGCCCATCCATGTTGTCTGTCACAGTGGCAGTTTCTTTCTTTCTAATGGCTGAATAATATTCGTGTGTGTGTGTGTGTGTGTGTATCTCGTATCTTCTTTATCCATTGATGAACACTTAGGTTATTTCCTTATCTTGACTTTTGTGAATAATGCTGCAGTAAACACGGGAGTGAAGGTATCTTTTCAATATCCTGTTTTCATTTCATTTGGTCAGATGCCCAGAAGTGCTATTACTGGATCGCATGGTAGTTCCAGTTTTAATTTTTTTAGGAGCCTTCATACTCATTTCCATAGTGGCTGCAACAATTAATATTTCCACTAACAGTGCACAAGTGTTCCCTTTTCTCCACATCATCAACAACAAAATACTAATTCTTGTTAGGTTTTTGTAGATATTCTTTATCAATTTTAGGGAGTTCCCCTGTATTCCTAATTTGCTGAGGGCTTTTGTATTTGAATGGGTTTGGATTTTATCAAATGCGCCTCCTGAATTTATTGATAGGATCACATGAATTTTCCCTTTTTTAGTTTGTTGATATAGTTGATTAAATTACCTGGTTTTCAAAAATTGAACCACCCATGCATACCTGGGACAAATTCCACTTGGTCATGGAATACAATTCTCCTTATTGTGGATTTGGTTAGCTAATATTTTTTGAGGACTTTTAAATCTCTGTTCATGAGAGATACTAGTCTCTAAGTTTTCTTTTCTTAATGTCCTTGTCTGTTTTTGGTATTAGTATAATTCTGGCCTTGTAGTGTAAGGAAGAATTTCCTCTCCTTCTATTCTGTGAACAAAATTGTAGAGAATGGTGTTATTTCTTCCATAAACATTTAGTAGAATTCACCAGCAAATTCCACTAATTCATGTTCTTTTTTGAAAGGTTATTAATTGTTCATTCAATTTCTTTATAAATACAAGCCTACTCAGTCTATTTCTTCTTCTGTGAGTTTTGTTAAATTGTGTCTCTCAAGGAATTTTGTCCATTTCATTTAGGTTATCAGATTTGTCCTCAGCGAGTTGTTATAGTGTTCTTTTATTATCCTTTTAATGCCCATAGGGTTTATATTTGATGTCTTCTTTTTAATTTCTGACACTAGTAATTTATGTCCTCCTTTTGTCTTAGCCTAGTTAGAGGCTTATTGATTTTATTGATCTTTTCTAGTAACCAGCTTTTGGCTTCATTGATTTTTCTCTGTTGATTTCCTGTTCTCAATTTCATTGATTTCTGCTCTGTTTCTTAACTATTTCTTTTCTTCTTCCTCTTACTTTAATTTATTCTTTTCCTAATTTCCTGTGGTGGAAAGTTAGGTGATTGATTTTAGGTCTTTTTTTCTTTTCTTTTATGCATTCAATGCTATGAATTTCCCTTTAACCGCTGCTTCCATTGCATCCTGCAAACTTTGTTGTGTTTTCATTTTCATTTAGGTTAAAACAACTTTAAATTTTTCTTGAGGTTTCTCTTTGGTCTGTGTGTCACTTAGAAGTTTGTTGTTGAATCCCCATATCATTTGGGATTTTTCAAGTTATCTTTCTGTTACTGATATCTAGTTTATCATTCCACTGTGTTCTGAGAGCAGACATTGTAGGATTTCTGCTTTTTTAAATTTGTTAAGGTGTGTTGTATAGCCCAGAATATGGGCAATCTTGGCGTATATTCCATATAAGCTTGAAAAGAGTGTGTGTTCTGCTGTGGCTGGACGAAGTAGTCTATAAATGTCAATCCAGTTGATTGATGGTTTGGTTGAGTTCAGCTGTGTTCTTACAGATTTCTGCCTGCTGGGTCAGTCCATTTCTGATAGAGGGATACTGAATTCTCCAACTCTAATAGTGGATTCATCTGTTTCTTTGTAATTCTATTAGTTTTTTCCTCCCATAATTTGATACTCTGCTGTTAGGCACTTACAAATTAAGGATTATTATATCTTTTTGGGAATTGACCCCTTTATCAATATGTACAGTTGACCCTTTAACAACTGGGTTTGAATGAGTCCACTTATATGTGGATTTTTTCCACTAAATATATTGAAAAAATTTTTGGAGATTTGCAACAATTTGCAGAAACTTGCAGATGAACTATTTAGCCTAGAAATGTTGAAAAAATTAAGAAAAAGGAATGCCATGAATATATAAAATATATGTAAATTCTAGTCTGCTTTATCACTTACTATCATAAAATCAGTAGTAGGCTATTAGTAGTTAAGTCTTGGGAAGTCAGAAATTGTATGCAGATTTTAGACTGCACAGAGAGAGGGTCAGAACCCGTAACCCCTGTGATGTTCAAGGGTCAACTAAAATAAGCTTTATGCCTGATAACATGCCTTTTTTAAAATTCTGCTTTCTCTGGAATGAACATAGCTATTTCTGCTTTCTTTTGATTAGTGTTAATTACTTTTCTCCATCCCTTTAGTTTTTATGTATAATCTTTATATTTATGGTAGGTTTCTTGTAGACAAGATATAGTTGGGTCTACTTATTGATCAACTCTGTCAGTCTGTCT